GAATGCGACGAACACGACATGACCAAAGACGTCAGTTTCCGAAGCCAAGCCACAAGACTACAAAGCCGGAAATATGCATGGACTTTAGAGTATGGCTAGGAGTAGAGATTTTTGATCTCTGTAAGATAAAAACCCGCGAGTCCGTGGGGCTATGTTGGTTGCGCGATCAAATGGATACAGGTGAAGAATGATAGGTACCAGGGCACAGAAGATCATTGTTCTTCTAGAAGACTTTTTCAGGGTTCGCTCGGTTTCGGTTTCATCGATAGTCTCCGGCTCCGTGGCTAGTGGGCTCGCGCCACGAAAAATGCTTAGCTAGCCTAGCGCCCCACGATGGTAGATGAGCTGATTTCCTTTGAGCGCACGTCCTTGCCGGTAGAATGGGACATTGGGCCGTTTTATGCCCTCGATGGACCTCGTTTGGGATATAACTCGGCGAGGTGGAATGCAGCCTTACAGATAGTAGTCTGTAACGCCCCCGGAAAGGTTGTGGCTATCCGTAGCAACAGGTAAGCTACGAGGGGGAAAGGGGAGGGATGGCAAGTGTGCCTTGCTGCCGGGCTGACAGCCGTCAAGAAAGATTTGGATTGATGGACACAGGGGACCGGGTAGTAGCGGGAGCTTAGGGTTCATGGAGGTAAAGGGGCATAGCAAGGCCCCGTCCTGCCCGTTAACCCCGGAAGCCTAACACAAATCTCGTCGCCGGGATCACGGCGTGATGGCGTGGGCACTGGCCAAGACGGGAGGATAATTTTGGGAGGAACCTTGGTAGGAACCTTGGTGACAGAATGCTATGCTGCCACACTGACTTATCTCATCTGCGTGGACGTTGAGTGGTTGAGCGGCGTAGAGGATCCTAGCCATACACGTATTGCCTGTGGTGCGTTGCCCACCCAATACATGTATTTGGGTATGCCACTCCACGCAACGCATGTCGACGTTTGATGGAGGCTTGGTGGAGGAATTGACGTCTTGATGCCGTGGCTCTTGGCCACATGAGTGATATTCAGGTGTGCATGTCTACAGATACCTTCTAGTTGGTGGTAGTCCCCTACTAGTGCTTCCAACGGGTAGGATCAGAAGCCCCCAACCCGACGTGGATCGTCATTTAGCGAACATGGATCTGGAGAGAGGTGTTGAATCTTTATTAGAGTGCTGCCCCTCTCGTGGCACCCCTGAGCCTAAGCCGGAGCCTGAGCCACCAGCACCATTGGCACCACATAGGAAGAGTCCTTCGGTCTGATGATAGCTTAGACGAAACGTAACCGTACACACCGACACACACCACTCTTGCTTCTTTACAATCCTGCCCATCCCCTCCCTTCAATCTCTACACTCAAGAGTCAACAACAGAGCTAGGCTCCAATAGGAACGGGCAGCATACGGCCTTGTTCGTTTCACTTTCTCCACGCACACGCCATTCCAGATCCGTACGAGCCGCTATGTTATTGTGTTTCTGACGCACGCACCCGTGCTTCGGCTTGACTCGTAAGCAAGGCGCAGTTTGGAGCCAGCTTTTCTTCAATACCCGCCCCGGCGCTGCCCAGTACGGGACGGGGCAGACTCACTCCCAGTCACTCCGAGAATCCCAAGAACCATCTTCCCCGTCTAGGTCACTGGTCACTGCTTCGCTCGCGTCTCCCTTCACGATATAACTCGAGTGGCTTGCTCCGCGCTTCGATCTTGGGCGAATGTCCAAGACCGGCCCCATTCGGATTTGAACTCAACCACGGCTTCGTCGCGCCAGCAAAAGCTTCCTCCCCGACGACAGACAGGACTGGACCATAGATACATCACATCACCACAACTCGCACTCACCTTAGTAACCTAACTTTACCTTACACTACATCCATCACTTATTCACGCTACCGTCGACACGCGAAGCCATTACCTCAGCCGTTCCGCTGCAGAAAATACCACAGACCATCTCCGGCCCCGGCGCTCATCTCCCCGACTTGCCTCTCCTCTTTCAGTCCCAACCTATTCACCATTTACCATCCACCAACCGACCATCCATCCATCCTCTCAACCCCACATATTCGCTTTCGGTCTCCTCGACCTGCTTGTCGAGACCTCCAACGACACGCCAAACGATCGTTGTCTACGGTACCTTTAGCGGACCGCGCCGCTCTTGAAGTGAAGAAGAGCCACATCTTGCTGACATCTCGTCACCGGTACTCAACCGATTCGTCAGATTGCCGCCTCCTTCCCCTGTTCATCGCTCTCATCGGGTTTCTGTAGCAAGGGGGTTTGAGGTCTAGGTGTCCCCCCAAATCGTGAGGGTTCTCTTCTGGCAGCCCAAAGGCACATCGCTCGCCTGTCTGGGGTCCAGCCTGCCCACTCTTCATCGGACGCGAGGTTGGGGAAGTTACGGCAGTGTTGTCCCTTTGCGCCAATCTAGGATAAGAGCCCAGGTCTTAGAAGGAATAGCGAAAGGGCTGCTTGTTCTGCTTGCTGCAAGATGCCGCGCCTAGGGTACAAAAAGTCTCGCGGTGGCTGTGCAAGGTGTAAACAGCGTCGCGTAAAAGTACTTACCACCTTTCATCCATTCGCATACACATGCACACTCGTCAACCTCTCTACCACTCACAAACCATCTTGTATATTGAACGCGGCCCGGCTGACACTTCTGAACCCAGTGCGATGAGAACAAGCCGTGTGGCGCCTGTATCAGGCACAACACCCAGTGCAGTCTTCTTGAGGGCTCAGTGGACGGAGGCTCCGGTGACAACATGAGCTGGGAGCCGACATCCAATTCTAACGCAGCGGGACTTTCAAGAGTGCCGAGTTTCCAGCGAAGGAGCTCATCGCGAAAGGGGTCCAGCGGCAGCCGCAAGACGCAAACGCCATCAATCAGTCCGATAGACCACTCATTGACGCCGCCTAGTCTGCTCGAGGCCACCCTCAACCTACCAGCAGACTTCGTCAGCGACCGGGGCTCATCCATCGGAAATAGGAGGTCATCTATCGCCGCCTCGAGCCCTGACCCCTTTCCTTATTTTGTCAAGTTCTCAACCGAGCCCGTGGAACCGGTTCATTTGAGCAAGTGGATTACAGATCTCGAGCTGATGCACCACTACTCCACGGCCACTAGTCTCACGATGCCCAGGTCATCAGACGTGAGCAGCATCTGGCAGTTTGAGGTACCAAAGCTTGGTCTGACGTACATGTTCCTGATGCACGAAATCCTCGCCATTGGTGCTTTACATCTGGGTTATCTGCACCCGGAGCAGCGCGAGTCTTATGCCTTGCATGCCTCACAACATCAAAGCGATGCGATAGCGGGCATGAGAGAGTCACTCATGAACATCACGACCGAAAACTGCCACGCTCTGTTCGCGGCGTCGTCATTACTGCTGCTCAACGCATACTCCACTTTCCCATATCAAAGGGGAGCGCCCCATTCACAAGAGGCACCGACAGTCGACGACGTCCTCGACGTGTTCTTACTAGTGAGAGGGATGAGTCACATCCTATCATCATTCCAGCCCTCTATCCAGAGTGGGCCATTTAGGAACTTCTTCACAGAGGTGGTCACTCCTGCGTCTACACCGTTGCTAGAGGCAGTCACACAGCACCTCGAGAACCTCCAAATAAGCTTAAAGACATCCAGCGCCGACGAACCGACCAAAGCCATCGTCAGCAAAGAGATTGACGTGTTTCTCGGGTGGATCATGCACGCCGTCGAGACAACGGCGTTTCCAGAGCTGCGGGTGGCCTTGACATGGCCGATTAACCTCACGGAGGAGTATCTGCAGCTGCTGCGGAACCGCGATCCGGCGGCTCTAACTCTGCTAGCTTACTATTCAGTCGTCGTTCGCTCGACCGAAGCTACCACGTGGTTCATGCAGGGATGGGGCATCAACTCGGCGCGAGCGATAGTAGCAGACTTGGATCCAGAGTGGAAAGAGTTGGTCAAATGGCCTTTGGCATTCATAAGCGATAGGAGTATACAACTTTAGTTGTTATCTAAATAAATCAAAGAACAAAACATTTAGACTACCATATTCCGCTCATGCCCTGATTTGCCTCGTCGGAGATCACACTAGCTCTGCAGATTTGAGAGCAGAGTCCAGACAGTCAGGGCTACCGCGGGTCCTACGAGCCGTGTATGATGATCTAGTGCTATTCTACGACTCGGCGGTGTCGTCAGATTCCGCCGCCAAGTAACAGCTGTTCCGTTGTTCGACGTCTACCCGATTACCCGTTCGTCTACATCTTTTAGGCTCGAAAGTCTAACGAGCCGATCACCAAAAGCCTAAAGGTTTCGGCCGAGCGGCAGCAGAGCGCATTGCGGGCTACAGTGGCCCGGAGATGTCTTGGCGACTAGAACTCGTTCGACCTACCTACTAAGGATAGAACTCTTTAGCATTGAAGGTAAGGCATATTCAACTACTTCGTACAGAAGCTACTAGGAATACAAATGAGCTGTAGAGTCAGAGTGTGAGCGATCTGAAACGATCGAATCAGGAACAAACGGGTTGTACCTCAAACCCCGAAACCGAAACCGAGGTAGGTGGGTGCGCCTGGTTTGGTGCTACGACTAGTGGGGGTGTTGCGAATGTGCGATCGTCCTGGAAGCTTAAGTGATCCGACCTAGGGATAATACCTAGCGGAAAGTGAGAATTGTAAGGCTGATTATGACTCTGCCGCCAGGTCTAAGCACTGCTTGACGCGCTGCATAAGGCTCGTCACTACCTTTGTAGCCCGTTGTCCCCCGGAGAATTTGTCGGCAGGCTGCAGCTAGGGGTCCCCGATGACATTGGATCCTAGGTTTTCGCTCGAAAAGAAGCCACATGAGGACCATGACGTCTGAAGGGATAAAAAGCTTAATGATGCTAACTGACGCCGCGGACGGCAATAGTCGGATGAGGATGAGGTCTAGACGCGTCTAACGCGTGGGATCACAACTATGGAAAGCGAGGTGCATCTTCTCTGACTGGCCAAGTTAACAAGTCTTAGCTTCTCCGGTTCTGCGGTCATGCCGATGAATCTTGACGATGGCAAACTTGCCAAGTTGTTCTCGGAACTTCCGTGCCTATTCATACATCTCCTTGGGCAGAAGAATTCTACGAGTCCTGCTGCTTACAGCGAGGGCGGCCATGTTGCTGATGAGCTGTTTGCTCTCGCATTCAATAACGTTTCCTGGCAAGGCTCTCGACGTATCTCCTTGGAGCGGATTCGAACTAGCCCTCTCTCAAGTAACCTCATTATCGCCGCTAACATATCAATTTTACCTCCTGGTACAGGTACAGACGATGAGACGAACGATTAACCTCATAGTACGATTCGCGAATATTCCAGACGAACAGACGAAAACGTATACACATCTCTCCATCCATACAACATTGACAAAGCCTTCGAAGCGCGGGTGACTGTTGGACTTCAATTGTTGAAAGCAATCAGTACAGTCGGGATCATATTTGGACGGCAAACTTTTCGGATATGTACAAGAATTATAGGCTCGATCAAGCCCAGGTGTCAAAGAAGCGAACAGCCTGGAAGAAAGCCTCCTCCTTGCCGAACTTCTGTCTGGGGTCCGAAATATTGGCGCGAACGCCGAATCCATGCGAGGTACCACCATACACAGCGAGGGAGAAGGGCTGGCCAGTCTCACTGAGGAGGGCCTCGACCTCGGCACGACGAGCGGGTGACATGAGGTTATCAGTTTCTACAGCGGCATTGTCAATAACAAGGAACAGTCCAGGTACCCTTCTGCAGGTGCCCTCCTGGGAGGAGAGGGGCCGGGATTATAACGTACCGGCGGCAGCGACACTCGCGGGACCAGTGATGGCCGTAATCTCCCCATCGGTAAGAAGACTCGGGTGCGCGGCGAAGCCGACATCAGCGCCCTTGCCCTCGGCGAGGACGCGGAAAGAGTAGCGGCCTCCGAAGCAGTATCCCGTGACGGCGACCTTGCTCACGCCGAGTTCCTCGCGCAGGTACTTGATGGAGTTGGCGATGATCGGGTCAGTGACGTTGGGTCCGTGCTGCGCAAGGAATGCCGTCGTGTTGAAGCCGGGGATGTTGATATCGTTCGGGGCGGGGCTGCCGTTGAACAGGTCCGGCGCGACGGAGATGTAACCGGCGCGAGCAAAGCTGTCGGACAGGCTGGCCGTTTGTGTTAACATCGGTATTGGCACGACGGTGCCATATGGCGAGCCGAGGTCTATGGCTGGTATAAGCTACTCACAGCTTGTTTTGCGCGAGCTGGATTCCGAAAACGTCGGTCAGGTAAAGGACTCCAACAGTCCTATTACCTCGCGTGCTTGGCTTGGTGACATATTGGGTCACTGCATACAAATCGCGTCAGCTTGTGCGCCAGATAGACGTCGCGACGAGATTGAAAAGACTCACGCCCATTGTACTTGACCTCCTCGCCAATTGGAGTGCCAGTGTGGGCAATGGCGGAAACGTCGGCAACGGGGCACTTCTTAGCAGCATTGGTCAGAGATACGAAGCCTAGAAGGGCTGCGACAATAGTTTTGCTGAGCATCTTGAAGGTTCTGGACTGGAGGTAAGTCAATCACAGAGCACGGCGGAGACCGGATGGAGAAAATGGGACGGGACGGGATAGCCCAACATCTTTTTAAGATTTAAGCTTCTCCCCGTTCCACGCGTCTAATGATTACAAATAAGCCAGATCGGAACCTATTTTCTTGGATGGTCATCCGCACGGAGATACGGGTGGTATCTTGGAGATATCCTTTGCCAAGGCGGTAGACATGGCGCAAGACCCTTGAAGACGTCATCCAATCCTCTAGCCGTGTGCTCCGCGTCTCCGCAAACACACCGTGAACGGTGAAGGATTGAGAGTTGCCGGGGCGGGGAGAAGGTTCCAGTCTGGGCCCAAGGAGGAAGCCGAGCTTTTTCTTCTCCGCTTCAGAATTGTGCGCCAATCATTGTGCTCGGTGCCCCTGTTTCGATGGTGGCTTTGTTTGCTTGTTCAATGTTTAAATGCAACATTGATGGACGTGATGATCCTTGGATTCTCCCAAGGCCAAGCCGTGCGGCAACGGGAAATGAGCATCGTTTAGGACGGACTGCCGTTATTTAGATGAGGGGTCCGCGTGGGGCAATTGCGACTTATCAATGGCCGGCTCGCTGCCGAATCGGCAAAAGCGTTGAATGTTGAGTCTTTATTACTAGTTCTTAGTAAGGTTTCGGTAAGGGTATTCATTCATCAGACTCGGTCAAAATGATCCAGCCTATCCAAGTCTCCATGACGTAGACCACCATGGCAGCAATTCTCTCTCAACAACCGTTATGCCGTATCTCAGCTCTTGAATACCAATGCTGGCTAGCTTTCATTCAAGCTTCTTCTCAGACAAATCCTAAAAGACCCTCAGTAGTGAACAGCTTTGCGCAAAGCGTCAAAACCGCCCCGACCATGCAAATGACGCCGCCAAACACGGAAATCTGGTCGTAACCGTGGTACCGATTGAGCAACGCGCCGCTGACCGGTGGCCCAATCAACACAGCAATTGATGCGAATGCGATGCCCATTCCCATATAGGTGCCGATATCCTTCGGCGTCTTTGGGCACAGGGTGAAGACCACGGACCCTCCTGAGATGATGGCGCCAGAAGTGAGACCATACGCTGCGGCAAAGCCAATGATTCCAGCCTCAGTCACTGCCTTGGGCCAGCAGAGAATCGAGATGGCGGTTAACAGTCCTGCAGTGAATAAGATGTTGATGCGACCAAACTTGTCGCCGAGGACGCCTGGAATGATGCGGCCGGGGATCGAGGCTCCGTTAATGACTGCCACCAAATATGACGCTAGTGACGGGCTCAAGCCGTGATCGATACCGAATGTCGGCAAGTAAAAGAAGGGGATGAACATGCCCACAAACATGAGGCACACGCCACCAGTGAGACACAGAAACAGCGGCTGTCGAAAAGCTTTCCAGATGAAGAACTGGCTCCTTCGAGGGGGGAGACGGGCCCTGACGGCGACGGACGAGTATAAGAGGAATGGCATCATGATGAAGCCGCATATGCGAACGGCCCAACCGAATCCCAGCGTGTCCAGAAGCTCTGAGAGAACGATGGGGAAGACGACTGCGCCCAACGAGGAGCCGGCAATGGCGAGACCCATGGCTGCTCCTCTCCTCCTCTTGAAGTATTGAGGCGTGGCGGCCATTGCTGGGAACATGATCAATCCGTTCGATAAGCCGCTGAGCACACCTTGAGCGAGCATGAACTGCCAATACTCGTTGCACAAGCTTGTCATCATCACTGAGAAGATGTATACTATCGCGGCGGGACGAATGACCTAGTCAAGGTTAGCATCTTCTCGATGGCGATACCAGCACGCCTGTGTCTTGTGTGCACTCACCCATGCGCCATAACGGTCAAAGATTGGCCCTCCTATAGCACCAGACGCAAACACCAAGAATGCCTGTATTGATCCGATCCACGATATGTCGTCTGGCGTATGGTTCGAAAGTTGATGGCGCGTGTAGTACGCTTGAAAAACGCCAAACGAGTTGGTGTACCCCAGAGAGCAGAACAGGATGGCTGCTGTGCCGGCCGCCACTGACCATGCTCGCGTGCCGCCTTCAGGGAAGTCATCTTCAGCCGATTGAATAACCTTTTCGTGTTTCTCCTGCTCGCCTGATCGTCCTTGGTCTGTCGATGGCGTTGACTTACTCTTCTCCGACTCGGCGCGCGACTGTTGAAGTACTTCCCCGCGACCCTCGCCCGAATTGGCTCTCGACGGACCGCCCTCGACGATATCCTTCATCTCATCCTTGGTCTCGGTTGGTTCGTTCATTGTTGCGTTGTTCTCAGAGAACTATGTGTCTTTGAGAGATTCGAGAAGCTTGGATCAGCTCCATCCTCAAACTGGGCACAAACACGGCGCGTCGCTGTCTATTGAATGCCACCAAGACCTCCCGCACCTCGGGACCGACTGCCCGCGGCCACCGTCACGAGATGCCCACCTGTGAGGCGTACATGAACTTTTGAAATCTTCACGCAACATGTGGGCTCTGTTTCTGCAGCTTGGCAGCTAGTCGGGAGGAACGTGCCAGTCTGAGCCCTTGGGACTTCACCGATCGACTTGCTTGACTGCGGCTACGGCACGGCCGAAAGCGCACGTGCGCCGGCGAGCTCCCGGAGGCTGATATGTTTACAGTCAGTTTGAGAAGACGCAGCCCAGCCCGACGGGAGCCCCGTTAGAGGCGGATCTCGCAAGGCCGTGGCATCTGCAAGCTCGTTGGAGACGTTTTAGGAGTGACAATGACTTCATGGTTGGCAAGTGGCATAAGCTCTGTATACTTTAGGTTCATGACGCTATCCACGGTTCACAATCAACGTCGTCTGATCACGAACTCGCAAGTACCGTGCAGCACTGCAACTTTCTCAAACAGCACGTAGCGTACTTGGATCGACGCCAAGGGAATGCGAATGCGGTCCTCGACACTGCAGCTCCTGTCGATCAATAGTCCCCGACGCAGGCTGTACGTCTGCCCTCGCATGTTTACCTGTGTCATCATGACCAACAACCTTAAATCGATGAAAGCACTCGTCTGTTGCGTCCGCACCCATAACATGACTTGTTGCCTATATGTAACTCATGCCCCGAATTACTCTATCGTTCTTTTGGTGTAGCAAATTCTCGTACACATTGCATCCTTCACGAGTTCACCAGAATTCAACAAGGTTTTACCCTCATGCCTCTGACCCAGGCTTGGGGGTCGACGAAACCTTCCAGGCTTATCCAAATCTCATGGAAAGATGATTGCGCTATGCCGATCAAAGCGTTTGAAGACATAGCGAGCTCTTCGACAACAGTGAGGTGGCTCATCACAGGTTCTGATCCCGTCAAGGTCCTACCTTATCAAATGGCGGGCGCAGTCCGTGTGGTTGACAGACTTCGGAGTATGGGTTGAAGTCATCCTGTCTCTTCGGAGATGTTGGGTCAGCTATGGTGCATGTTTCTTCGTATGCAACGAGTCTGCGCCTTGGTGGACTTGCAACAGCTGAGTTATGCTCATCTGCCCTTGAGCTCACTCTGTCCTTCCGAACTTCTCAGCCTAAACTGAGTCCAACGTTCATTCGTCTGAGGTCCTGTAAACGCCCTGCTTGCCAAGCCGGGTGAATCTCTTCATCCGACACAGCTATACATTTACATTAGATGCTGTGGATGCTCAGACTACACCGTTGACTCCCAGACGAGTCGTTCCGCGTTCAAAGTTGTCAGGTTGACGGTTGTCACACGAAGAAAAGAGCAGCTCCAGACAACACCACGAGCAGGCAGATACTATGAGGCCACCAATGCTAAAAGCCCCGTTCTCTCCTTCCAACCATGACGTAACTTAGTGAGCGCCATGAGAAGCTAGGGTTAAAACTTTAGGTGTATGTTATTTGAGACTCTCAATCCTCCGAAGGCTAGGCCAGGGAGTGAGGAAGGTCCGGTGACAGTAGACTCAACGTTGGACACTTTACTAACGCGCATCATGTAATCTATACACAGGTTACTTCGTCACATAGAGAAAGACTTGGAGAGCATGTTGCATTCAATGTCCTGGTTCCGGCCCTCGTTTCGACTACCTTACCTTGAAGGTCAGCCTCAGCTAGGCCATACGCAACTGCTCCAACCTACGTGTATGAACATAACCAATACGCAAGTTGGTCTTCAATGAGAGTTCTTCCCACTTTACTAGGTAACTAGGCGGAGTTTGCAAAACATGAGAGAAATGGCGTTACATCGCAGATTCCAAGAGGAAGACACATTATCACCGGCAAAGTCACACATGACGAACCCCTTAATATGGAAAAATGGCATCACGAACGGAGCTCCAACCTCCGCGAACCGCGATGTTTGCCCGTCTACCCCGCTACGGAACCAAGGGGTCACAACTATTTAGCCCCGGCTCCCCTGCGATCGCTGCACGCCGAGACTCACGCCGAGACTCACCCCGCAGATCCCCCAGACGCCCGTTCGGCACAGACTTCGAGCCAAGAGCAAGGTTTCGGACAACGCAACGTCTGCCGTCCATGGGCTGTCAAGCAACTGGTGGGTAGCCACCTATCTTTCGACGATGCTGAGTGAGGTTTTCTGTCTGGAGGTCCGGTTGGCTTGACACTCCTCAGCACCAGTCTCCTGAAATTCCCGCTTGTTCCGTCTGCGCATTTCACAACCAGCCTTCGTTGGTAGTCGCCAAGAAAGCTTACGATGTGAGTAATGGCATACTGTATTCGTGTCGCATATCCACTCCTGTCACCTTGACTGACTCTAGCTGCGTAGCAGAAGGTAGATTGCCTTGACGGAAGTACTTGAAGGGTGGTTCAAGCCTCGAAACATCCGCATATACTTGTCGTCGTGGCTCGGTAGGCCATGGAGCTGCTTAGCGCCAATGGACACCTGGTAATATGCTGTAGGGTTCAGGAAGATACCTTCGCCGAGCCTTATTATCCACACAAGTCTGCTTCGACGTTGATCAAGCTCCGACACGGGCAAGGGAGCCCTGCCGGACAAGTTCGGACGGTGGCCTAGCGAGAGCCGAAGACAGGCACGATCGGCAAGGTATCGCGGCCGTTCCTGGCGACCGTCGTTCACCTAATCCCGTACGTCCCGGAGCTATTTGCTCAGTCTTACCGCCGCCGAGATCTTGGCTCTTGGAACCTTGACTTGGCTCTCCATCACCTGGCTACCACATAACGTTGACTCTCACCAACAAGCCAATGGAGTAGACCTCCTCTCTGCTTACAAGACCTTGGCAGTCTGTTGATATGGGCATTGCTTCGGTGCGACAGTCCTCAGATCCGCAATCCAAGGGCTTCTTTCCCTGCATCAAACACTCAACTTTTGCCAACTCTGGAAGTGGGGCTTAGCTGCCGACGGGAATTTCGTCCCGGTCAACTCGTTCCAAGACTTGGACGACAAGGTGTATGCGATCTAATGTCACATGGCACGCGTTCGAGAAGAGAATTTGTCCTTGCGGGTAATGTCGATGTAACGATTCGACACTTTTCGTCAACTTTCGAGAAATGCTAGAGACTCGATCACGGAACTGAACGCGATGTTGCCGGAATCCGGGACGCTAGAAAGAATCTTCTCGGGGAGCCTCATTCCGCAATATCAAGAGGCCGAATACCTTTGGAAGAAGATAAGAGCATAAATATGGCGCGGAGATCCGCGTTCAACTGGAATGTAAAGTAGGCTTCTCACAACTTACGCTCAGCATTCACTTTCCAACCTCCAAGACGATACTTCAGTCTCTGCAGTTTCCTTCACGATGAAGTACACTCTTTCAGCACTTTCCATGCTAGCCATGGCTGTGGCTCAGCAGGTCGGCACCGAACAGCCTGAGACTCATCCCAAGCTGAGCTGGCAGAGGTGTACTTCTTCATCATGCTCGAACGTCAACGCTGAGGTCGTCATCGACGCCAACTGGCGCTGGGTTCATGGCGTTGGGTAAGTGGCGATGCTGATTGTTGTCTTTCTTCAGATGATGACCGACTCCACTGGCTGACACTGATCTAGCGGATACCAAAACTGTTACGATGGAAACTCGTGGACTGGATTATGCACGACCGGAGACAACTGCGCCCAGACTTGCGCTGTCGAAGGAGCCGAGTACGGCGGTACCTACGGCGTCTCGACCAGTGGCAATGCCATGACTCTAAAGTTCGTTCAGGAGCACCAATACGGTAAGAATATCGGCTCTCGTATGTACCTCATGAACGGAGACAGCAAGTACCAGACCTTCCAGCTCCTCAACAACGAATTCGCTTTCGACGTCGACCTGTCCAGTGTCGAGTGTGGCATGAACAGTGCTCTATACTTCGTTGCCATGAAGGAGGACGGCGGTCTGTCTTCGGAGCCTAATAACAAGGCGGGAGCCAAGTACGGGACTGGCTACTGCGACGCGCAATGTGCTCGCGATCTTAAGTTCATTGGCGGCAAGGTAGGCCTCAACCCTCCATGCTTGACAATACGGGGAAAAAGCTCCGACTAACAGTGACGACGGATAGGGCAATGTCGTAGGCTGGGAGCCTTCTGAGACCGATGACAGTGCCGGTGTCGGCAACATGGGCGCCTGCTGCGCCGAAATTGATGTCTGGTAAGACATTCGAACCATTTTTCACTCGAGAGTTGCTCAAGTCCTGACCAATACCCAGGGAATCCAACGCCTACGCGTACGCTCTGACTCCCCACCCTTGCGAGAACAACAACTACCACGTCTGCGAGGGTTCCAACTGCGGCGGCACCTACTCCGAGGATCGCTACGGCGGCGGCTGCGATGCCAACGGTTGCGACTACAACCCGTACCGCATGGGCAACCCTGACTTCTACGGCCCCGGAAAGACCATTGACACCACCAAGAAGTTCACCGTCATCACCCGCTTCTCTCCAGACCGCATGTATCAAGTCTTCATTCAGGACGGAACAACCATTGAAGTACCCGGCGCCAAGTGGGCAGGTGTGCCCGAGACCTCAGAGATCACGCCCGAGTACTGCGAGCGCCAGTTCGCTGTCTTCAACGAGCGAGACCGCTTCAACGAGGTCGGCGGATACCCCCAGCTCAACGCCGCGCTCAACATTCCCATGACTCTTGTGATGTCCATCTGGAGCGACGTAAGTATTTCCACCAATGTCTCCGTCAGCCTTTGACTATGCCAAGCTGATGTTCCGCTGTAGCACTACGCCAACATGCTCTGGCTCGACTCCACCTACCCGCCCGAGAGGGCTGGAGAGCCCGGCACCGAACGTGGACCTTGCGCCCCGACTTCTGGTGTCCCCGCCGAAGTTATCGAGCAGTTCCCCAATTCGCAGGTTGTCTGGTCCAACATCCGCTTTGGCCCCATTGGCAGCACCTACGCTGTCTAAAAGGACTGAAGGAAGACTCGAAGTTGCACACGACCCTGATCGCTTCGGGAGTGTCTCCAAGAGTAAACTGAGTGGAGGATATCTCTTCTTTTCCCTGTATACAACTTCTCTTCTTCCATCGCCGGCACCATTTCTTTCATCCGGCTTTGTCCCATAGACTCGGACCTGAATACACTTATCCATACAATCCAACGCAACGAAGTCTTTTGGTGTTTGTGTCTCGGAGTCAAAGAGGTCTGTCGTGAACGCAGCTCATCAACTTTAAGCCGTTGTTGATACGAGTAGCATTGGAATATCGGAGAACCGTACACGTATTGGCAACAGGCCGCAGTGTTCGATAAGCATCTTGGCCAAGAGCCTCCTGTAGCTTTCAGGAGCGGGAGGGAAATGTGCCTTTGGCTATTAAAAGTATCAACTCCACCCTCTTGCTGACTAATTTTGCCGGGAAGTACCGCGGTCAAGCCACGGGCGCGGCCGCGTTCAAGGGCATCGGGGAGTATCGGCTTTAGGATAATCGTGATCAGTTGAGTCGGTGAGTCGTTGGAGTCGTGGCATGTACGATGATCGATTCGCAGGCTCGGGCACTTTGACAGAGTTCGTCTCGATGTCGGCTTGGTTCGGCTCGGTGGTATTTTGCTACCGCATCGATTCTCGATCGGAAAAGCCAGATAGAAGATAGGTCCTGAAGAACGAGGGCTATCAATTTCTATCTGTCCGTACGGTAGATGAACAATACGACTACGCCCCTGACTCGTGGTGATCGTGGTAGACCCCGAAGTGGAAGCGAGCATCCGCTTAGGGACAGTAGAGAGTTGTGAGATAGAGAGTTCTGCATATGGATTCCTACGGGGTGGAGGACGTGCCGACTAGAGATATGGGATGATTAGCCAAGGCATTTATTCGCGACTGGGAAAGTCTAACAGTTGAATGTTGTGAGTGCACCGACGTGATGAACCAGCCTCAGGCTGTAGCTCCAAAGGAGAGCGAGAGCGAGTTACTCTAAACAGGGATAGCCCAGACGCACTCCGCGTCTTGATTCGTCAGTATGAAGAGACAAACGTCAGTTTGCGGACGCTAATGCAGACTGCTGACACGCTAAAATCTGGTTAGAGATCAAACAGGGGCTTTAAATCCGTCCGGATACACTCCCGTCTGGGAGAGTGCTTCGCCTCGCCGATGACAACGGCCAGAAAGTGCTTGGATTAGCAATCCATCTCGAAGACAGTAATTCACAAAAAGGAGAGACATAAGCACAACACTAATCCTCAGTCTTGCTTTCCCTCAAGTTTCCGCAAAAGGCCCTCAAGTGTTCGAAAATACAAGAGATAAGTCGTGGGCAACCTCGACTTTGCTGAGCCTATCCGCACAAACTAGGCCTGAGTCAGTAGGAGTCCCCACCATCGAAAAAAAGGCATCAACGCCGATTCGACCATCTAGGTTCCGGCCTTGTGGCACCATCCCTGGCACTTAGACGGTGGAAGGCTGTCAGCAGGCTGCATATAGTCTTCTGGAGGACCAGTCTCATCTCCTTCGAGCATTGTTGTCATCCGTTTGTCAAAGATTGACCAGATCTCGGAGCTGCTGACTGCTGACGCTCCCGGCCTTGTTTCTTCGGCTCTCTCATTTGCCCAACGCCTTTTTGACCAATGTCTTTCGAGGATATCTTTCCACGTATAGAAGCGACGGCAACAATGGAGATGTGTTTCAGTCCCGGCCCGGCGATTCCTGCCGGGACAGTCATCCCAGTGATTGCGAATCCTCGTTTGGCTGAACTACGGGATCCTTCAGAGGACTGGACCGGAGTTACGAGTACGGCGGAGAGGCGTAAATTACAGAACCGGCTGAACCAGAGAGCGCGAAGTGAGTCCACCTCGGTACCGATCTGCTGACATCTACTACCCGCACGGACAAGGCTAGTGGTATCATTCAGCTAACGGTTACACGCGTATTACAAGGGCGGAGAGCACAGAAGAAACTCGGCAAACATTCTCCATCAGATAAAAGTCCGTCAACCGAGGTGGAATCCGACCCATCGACAGCCTTGGTGAAGAAAGAGTCCGCCTCGCCAACTAACGAAAATACCCAGACAGCCCTGGCGGCCATCATCGCAGGGAAGATTGGAAAGGCCGCCGTTCCAGATGTCTGCCTCCTGGGCAAGACAGGCATGCCAGCCATGCTAGAAAAGTTCGCCGAGGGTGCCTACGAGGACTATATGCGCGGCCGGCCCTGTACAGACTACCTCACGACCCTCGTCCGCGTCAATGTCTTCCACGCCTTTGTTCGCAACGCCAAAGCCCTCAGCTTCAACAAGGAGTGGCTGACCTACGACGCTATCTCGCCCTTTAACAAAGCCGGTCCTGACCTGGGTCGCGCCACGATATCGGCATCGTGTCCGTCCAACATGCTGCCCACGGCGCTCCAGTTGTCCGTCGAACATCACCCCTGGATCGACTTCTTCCCGCACCCCCGAATGCGAGACAACTTTCTACGAATCGTGGCCGAGCACGGCGAGGACTACATTGACGAAGACGAAATGTGCCGGGACGTGGTCGATGTGGGCGCGGGGGCGGGAGTCGAAGACGCGGCGCTGATTGTTTGGGGAGAGCCGTGGGATCCGCGGGGCTGGGAGGCCACGGAACCGTTTCTCCGGAAATGGGGCTGGTTGCTTGACGGCTGCACCGAAATGCTCGAAGGCACAAATTACTGGAGGGAGAAAAGGGGCCTGCGGAAACTCAAATTTAACTAACCAGAATCCTTGCCCAAAGCAACACTCCCTCCGGCCATGTCGAACACAACGAAGCATGGGTTTACGTGGGTAGAAAGATACCAGGCCATGATGCAGGGTCGCTCTGATGTCTTTTGACTATCCACTAATCTTATCATCAAAAGCTCTTGCCCTTGGTCTTGTCTAGAATGCCCATCAACTCGACAAAGTATGGGAGAAACGCCTCGCATTCGACTCTGAAGCCCTCGTGAGCACCCGCGACGTCAAGCTTCGGACACCCCAGAATCTTGGCCTGCTCGTCGACCGCCTGAGCATACCACGCCTCTCTGCTCCGAATGCCCCTCATCAGCCCGATGCTCGTTCCGTTCTCCCTGATGCGATACAAACTCGGCAGATAGCCCAGCAAGACGGCAAACTCGTTGGCCCAGTGATTCGGGGGATTCATTGGATCCGATGGCCCCATGCGAGGAACACCTTCATCGAAATAGCCGATCAGCTTAGAGCTGAACTTTTCCTGCGCAGCATCGACGCCTGAAGCCTCATATATGTCGAGACAATTATACAAGAACTCAAAGACTTCGGTGGCATTGGGGAGAAGCATGAAGGTCGGAGCTTCGTGGGAGATGACGTGTTCGACCATGTCTGGAAAGTCGAGGGCGAACTGAAATGCAAGGATACCGCCCATACTGCTCCCGAAAAGAGTGGCTTTGTCGAAGCCGAGGGCCTCGATGATGGCGCGAATATCGCGGGCTTGCTGTGGAGGATTGAGCCTCTTGTTGACTTTGGCTTGACTTGCTGACATTTGACGACGGTCAAGGGTGGCGCATGTATATCTATCCGATAGAGAGGCCATGATCGTGTCATATTGCCGTCCATGGCCATTGCCTCCCGGGATGAAGACGATGAGCGGACCTTTGCCTTGGGACCAATAGTGGATATCGCAATCCTCGATGTGCAGGACTGCGCGGGTTGGAGCAAATTCTGGTGCCATTATCGTAGCTGCTACTTGCTCTCAATTGTATGGAGGATGATAGAGGATCAGACTTGGTCTAGCTGGAAATGGTACTGAAGTCGGTGGATTTCGTGGAAGTAGATGAGACACGGTGATGCAGACGCCGCCTCGCTATATAAAGCATGACTGAAAGATTGAAACTCGCATCTGATGACTTCAGTTAAGATACGTGATCAAAGACCTGCGGCTGTTTGATGACCCGGCTTACGGCGTTCTCGATTAGAAATACAGAGGACGCGTTGTCTATCTGCGGGGTGATGATCCTGTCAGCATGGGCAGCTTAACCCGGATCAATCACAACCAACAGCGGATGATACGGGCCGTATCTCCTAAGTAAGCTGATGAGAAGGCGTAAGTGATCAAAGATGATGACTTCTGGATCCGGATCTGAGCGCACCGGAAAATGAATGTCGGGGTCGGCGCCCGGCCCCACATTGCCGGGTCGGCCATCTTGGCACCGATGATGGCTCAGGTTCTTAGCTGCCTCATCTAGAGTCCAGGCAGCTCAATTTTTATATGTTTGAAGTATAACTTGCCAGAATAGATAGGCAGGTTTGATTTTATCGGTCACAGTACTTATCAAGCAAGGCTCTGAGCGCGACCAAGGTCCTTCGTACTTCCCCAAACCCTTCGGCGACTCTCGGGAACGATGGCTAACATGGCAACTGTCATACCTGTCACCACACATTAAAGAATTGGATGGTCGTAATTTGCAGCTCATCAGTTTTGGAGGACTTTCTGACGGCTACTCAGTCAAACTTTATGGCGTTGTCTTGTGTACTCCCCATAGGGTACCTATAGTGAAGGCCTAACCACCCCACCTTGTAGTGGTTTCCTCTCACAACCGATTCATCTGGTGGTAGAGTCTGGAGTGTATTTGCAAAAGAGTCAATGATCAAGATCGAGAGTAACTATTCTCATTCCCTGTAGCGAATTCAAGTCTTTCAATCTCTTCCCTCGGCCACTGCAGGAAATCCAAGTACGCAGCATCTAGATTCGACGCCACGCCTTGTAGAATTTGATCAGCCCAGCCGCGCATGTACCACAGCCACTCGAGCTTCTTGATCAGTACGGCAAAGTGGCCCAGCACAACCAGGGCGATGGTCTTTTTCATTTTGAGACATCGCACGAAGTCGTCGTCGGTGCGGTAGATGCAAGCCATAATCACCTCCATCTTGCCCTCGGACGTGGTGGTGGGCTCAGCGAATGTTCCAAAGGTTTCTTGGAAGGCGGAGGATACGTATTGAATCATCTTTCTGTAAGTTGCTTCGTCGGGATCCGCAGTGTCAGCAATGAGCTTTGCGATGCGCCCGAGGGCATGTTCCCATGTAACGGGTCTTGACGCTGTCGGGCTTGAACGCGACACTGAAGCCTGGCCTGACGGGTCCTTCCTCGGTGGCGGCTTTTCTTCTGAAGGCGTAGGAGCGAGGACGCCTGAGAAGATGGCCTCGAAGCCGGCCGTCTCAATGACGAGCCTGACGCCCCTGAGCAGCTCGAACCAGGCCACCTCAACGCCATCCGAGACTATGAGCAGATTTCCCGGCGCGGGACCGCGAGCGAAGCTACAGGAGCAGATGAGGGTGGTGGCGATGTAGAGGACGCCAGCGGAGTCGATGCTGAGGCGGGGCATGAGTTCCATAGTCTGACGCAGGCCGGTCTCGTAGTGTTTGTCTGCCAGCCCTCGATACCTCGTTCGCTCGTCTGGTTTTATGGTAGCTAGATGAAACGCGGACACGGCGAGGAGGAGGTGGAGGACGGAATGATTTTCGAAGGCGAGGAGAGGCACCTTTTGACGCCAGAGGATTGCGTCGCCGTGGTCCAGAGCTGGGCAGGTGAGGAAGTGGTGCAGTAGGGCAAGATCATCAACGGTCCATATCCATGGGATGAGTCCTTTTAGGGATGTTCCCAGAAGTAGAGACTCTGGACCGGCCGATGTGCTGCTGCCTGGCGAGGAGGTGTGGCTCAGGGTGCTGGAAGACGAGGAAGCCACTGGGACACCGAGCTGCTGGTTGTGTCTAGTAGAGTAGTCGCTTTGAGGCATATCATGCCGAGATCCGTTTGCCTTCGGGTTCTTGGAAGATTGGCCACGATTGAGGGCATCATGAGAGGCATTGGCTGGGGTGTCCAGGTCTGAGCTCAGTGTTGAGGACTCGAAGCTGCAGTTGTGTAGGGCTTTCGAGCACTGCCCGCACTTGGGCTTGACTTCGTCACACTGTGCTAGTCGGTAAGTTTCGTAGCCATGCAACGTATTATGGGAGACTTGCCTTGATCCTGCGCTTCTTGCACGTTTCGCAGCCTCCCCTCGACTTTTTATGCGGCCGCCGCTTCACGATGTGGCATGTTGTGCAGGTGCAGCCCGGATCAGCGTGCGCCGCATGCGGAGGACCAGCACCCAGCATTTGTAGGGTAATTAGGTTGTAAATAGCTAGGCAGGATCGAATCAGTCAGCGTCCAGAAGACGGTTTCAAGGTATTGGATGAAGTCATCAATTGTAACTTCGAACTGGGCGCATTGGGGATGGTCAAAGTGAAGAACGGGATACGAGACGAAACGAAAAAGATGAAAACCAAACAAGGACGCAGGCCAACGAAGTGGGGAGCAGTAGCCAATCACCAATGAGCAGTGACTGAATCATTTTGGCTCCGTCCAGCTCCTTTGGCTTAGTTCAACTGACTTCAGGAGATCTCGACCTCAAGGAAGATAGGAAGCAAACGCGCCCGCGTCCACAGGGTGACTCAATCCTCAATATCTAAGGCTATCTCATCGGCCCCAACGATCTCTATATACATCAGTGACGACCATTCTATGCCCAACACTCCCAATTAAGACCACCATGTAATAGCAGGTCACTGGTGTGACATATACAGCTGATAAAGTGTCGTCAAGACAGACTCACGAATCATGAAGCCTTTCATCCGTGGCTCTTATTTACGGAAGACGTCTGAAGGAATCCAAACTATTACATGTAGAATATAGCAACCCCCCACATTACCCACGTCACGAAGCCCATGCCGTGAGATGCATAAAAGAAAAAGAATCGTTCGAAGCAGCGTTTGTGAGTGATAACGAAACGGCCTAGTTATATGAAAAAATCGCCTAAAGCCTGAAATCTGACTAGAGCCAACAAACTGACCCCCGTTCTCCCAAACCCTACCTGATAGCCAAGGTGCCAAGTATCAAGTTTATTCAGAACAAGACCAGCAAGAGGTTGCATTCTTGCTCGCACACGCGTTATCAAACCTCGCCTTCTGCGGATACGGGCACAGCACCTGCTCTTGCGTCGATCCATCCGGCAGCGTCACGATCACTGGTGAAGACTCAGGCTCCGTCCCGTTCTCGACCCAGGCCCGAAGCTGCGCGAAGATGGCCTCGGGCTGTCCTCCTCTGCCACCCCAGCAGTGCTCGAGCCCGGGGACGCGATAGTATTTGTAAAAGGAGCTAATGTTGCCGCCGACAACGTCAGAGACGGTGTTGTAGTATCGGAGAGTGCCGCCAGGAGAGATGCTTTGATCGGCCTTTGGAATATTAGCTCAGTACAATGTACGGTAGTTAGGGACCAAGCAACGGAAGGGGCATTTACGAGTCCGTGGTAGGTAATGATCTTGCCCCCTGCGTTTTTGAAGTCGCTCAGGTCCGCCTCGTCGGTCTCCATGTTGGAGGCAAAGACCAATTTGGTGGCGCGGTGGATCGTGTCAAACGTTGTGTCTGTAAGAGTAGGCACCGTAGCATTGGGGTCTTTGGAGACGAAAGCCCGCCAGGCAAAGGCAACGTTTGCCTCAGCAGTGCTGCTCGTGCAGACCTTGCCGGTGCATTCTGTCGGTGCGATGACGGATAGATCGCTGCCCATCTCGTACCCATCGTATATGAACATCCCAGTGGAAGAACGGGGACCGGTCCAGGAGGCATTGGCTACGTTGGCGGCCGCTTGACTGATTTCGAGCGTCAAGTTAGTCTGCGCGCACGTGAAAGACTTGCCAACCTGCGCGGAAACGTTGAAGTTTGCCCTGCAGGCCTCGGGATCACTGACGAGGCCGTCCTTCACACCGTCTAGCTCGTCGCAGGCAGAGATGGCAATGGCGGTGAGCGCGTTGAGTTCGCACCCCAGCGGGAACTGCTGGGTGTTGAGCATATAGTAGCTAGGCCAGATCGAATTGAGGTAGAACTCGGCCCAGTTGACGGCGGGGGCGGCTGACATGATGCCGTCGTAGGCGTCTGGGTATTGCTGCGCCAGTTTGAGGCCCTGACGGCCGCCCTGGGAGCAGGCGTTCCAATAGGATCGCGCAGGAGGCTTGCCGTAGAAGCTTTCAATAAGCTGTTTCGTTATAATAGCCTGTTGCGAGAAGTTTTGGTTAGCATTGTGGCTTGGTACATGTATCATGTTATCGATCAAGAAAGGCAGCGTACCTCATCATTCAGGGAGACCTGACCAAAATTTTGCAGAGCGTTGGTGTCTAAGCTCCCCGGGCTTTTAAGCAGCCAGTCGATGGGGTTCGAGGTAGTAGGGATTCCGGCGTCGGTGGTGACAGTCGCGTAGCCGTTGGCAACGGCGTTGATCATGGCTGCGTAGCTGAGGATGAAGCGGCCGGGGTTCCAGCCACCACCGCCGACTGACTGCAAAATCCCGTTGTAGCGGTCTATGGGTGGTAGCCAGGCCTCGGCCGTGATAGTGTCGTTCTGTCCTGGGTGCGTGTAGGTAACGGTGACGTTGCAAAAGGTGGCGTTCTCAACGTTGAGGGCCGGCTGAGAGTAGGTCCATCCCTTTGGAACGTCGAAGCTGTAGTCTTCCACCAGGTTAGCTTGCACCGCGAGAATACTGGCCCCTAGCAGTATAGGGGTCCCGAATGTCGCGCTTGCGCAGCGGCTTCCATTGACGGCGAGGGCCATGTCGGCTGAATGAAGTATGATGACTTGAGCTTCGTAAGGAGGTTTCCAAAGCAGTGAATTTGTGCGAGGAAATAGGGGTGAACAGAAAACCACCTTTCTTTTATAGAGTAGTGTACCGGCAACAATAGCGAGAGCTCTCGGCATTTGTCTCCAGGATGAGGCTTTGCAATTGCGGAAATTAAGCATCCAGTTTCTGCAGCATTGTAGACCCATCGACCGGAAGAGTAGGGGATCAAATGAAAGGATGTCAATCCTCACCGTCGGCATGATAAGTGATGAATCAGGACTGGCATGTGTATATTGAATGGCGCAACCACGACTGGGACCACTATGCTTCTCCTTCATCCTGTCATGACGCCAACAAGTATTCCCGAGGCCTGGCAACAATCTTCAGAGCCATCACTCCGGGGTCGCCGCAGCTTGATGTGGAACTCTCCATTGTTTATTCCTGGGTCTCTGCATGTCAAATCCTTTCCCGAAGACGCAATGGAGAAGTCTGCGTCGGGATGATGCCAAAGTGACCTCGACACGTTGAGCTGGGGTCCACCGGCACAAGTACGTGACTAAAGTGACTGGGGTCGTATTTTATACGACCCCTGCAGACGATCTGTTCGTCGGCCGCTAATGGATCCTGCGACTCGCGAGGCAGTGCCCACATATGATACTAACGTTGCACTAACTACGCGGGGCCTAGGCTTGACGACAACATTTCTGGTGAGAACAGAACCGAGCGGACAACATTCGGCTGTCATACGCCGTTCTTCTAGTTGAGGTGACCCTTTCCGGCAGTTTGGGCAAGTCTCGACTTCCCAACTCGTTTATTGTACGGACCTAGCAAGCTGATAATATTTTTCAGGGCACACCTTTGCAAGGACACCCTTGGTGTCGTCGATATCTTCCTATTCGTGTGGACCCGGTGATGGCTTGCCAGGTATCGTACCTTCCGTGATGTGGATTTGGAGATATTATGCATTGAGCAATGTTGAGGTCGATAGCCTAGGCAGTTTGTGGTTCCAACCTGTTCGGCTATCATATAAAGCCGGGAAGCAGGAACCTGTTAGTAGAATGGTCAATGAGCTCAGCCAGACTTCCCAACCTGTAATATTCTCATCGCTCGTTACGGCAGTTAATGGTGTTTTCTCTATTATAAATCAGAAATACAACAGAGCGGCTCTCTTTTGTCAATACTTACGCTCCTTCAAGCATTCTTTTACTTTTGCTTTCGCTTGATTCTGCTTCCCAGAGTCGAATGCTCAGAGACCAAATCGAGTATATCGGCAGCTGTGTATTCGATCAAGCTGACCTCGGAAGGGCTTATCTACATTCATAAGCTGCTGGTTTATCCTCGCCCTGCTCTCACGATGCCGAGTCAAGAATGGCAAAGTGATCTCATGGACTGCAGCCCATGCGGCACCTGCATGATGGCCTCATTTCTTCCATGCATGGGTACGTCAACTAAACCTTTCCCCAAACCATCTTATCTCAGTACCTTATTACCGATAATCCATCCAAGTGCTGACTTACATACCCCCCGTCTCCTGCATCAGTCTTTGGCAAGACCTCCGAGCGCATGCGCGACCCCAGCCTCTCAGACTACTCACCCATCAACGGAGACTGCTTCATGATCTCGGCCCTTGGCTCCATTGGTCTCGGTTGGCTGTAAGTTAATAAGATGCTGAGCCGGCACCTCCTGCCATCTTTCCCCTCAAAGCACCTACGGCACTCTTTGGCAGCTCGCTGACTATGCCTTTCTGACCAGGTTTCTCATGAACAAGCGCGGCGATATCCGAAAGAAATTCCACATCGAGGGAAGTACATGCGGCGACTGCTGCGTGTCGTTTTGGTGTCCCTGCTGCGTGCTCATTCAGCATGAGAACGAGGTCGAGGGGCGAACCGATTATGGGCCTATCAATACTGGGTACCAGTCGCAAGCACAGAACATGGAAATGAAGTAATCACGCGGGTTCATGACCTTTTATTTGTCTAGATGTTAGATGGCTGATACTGCGCTCTACCTGCCCGCGAGGTAATTCAAGGGAAGGGAATCAAAACTGTTGGTGATTCTTGTTGTGGAATCACGTTTGATGTCGAACTCATCTTCAGACTGCACATGTAGTCTGTCAGAACACATAAATTTATGGATAGAACTGCTTGAAAATGACGACTGAGTGATTCAGATTATTTAGTATGACTCTGATTCAAGAGATCGAGCTTGTACTTTAGCCGATCCTGAAGCCGCATACGGCAGCTTGATTGCACGTCTCGCCCAGCGTAGCGCCGACATCCTACTTGCGAAGTAAGTTGCGAGTACCAAAACCACCGATATTGCCTTCATGTTGTCTTTAAGAAGGCTGGATCCAAGGTCTACACCTCGTCGCCGCGCAGAATCCGTTGCAACATGGCCCGACGTACTGCCCGTTGAGATCGTAGCACATCCCGTACGTCGGGACACAGATACCGAGACAGCTGACTCCCGTGACGGGCTGCGGTGGTCCGATGATGACCTGCTGGAGACCCTGGGGCGTGATGCCGCCGACCAGGGCCTTCTCGCCGTTTGTATAGAAGGTGCACTGGGAGAGGGCGTTGTAGTCCGGCGCGTCGATGATGTTGACGGAGATGTCGTTGTCTACGTGTGAACGGTTTAGTGTTCCTTCTTACACTCTCAACGATGCGAACAATTGTGTGGGGTTGGAACTGACTTGTAGGATACACCTGCCCATCGGCGGGAATTGTCATCTCGTAAGACGCTGGACCACCGTGGAAGGTAAGGTGAACTGTCTGAGGGGCGTCGCGATCTTCGAGCGGGTGAGAGAGGGATGGGAGGATGAATGAGATTGGAATAAGAAGCACTGCGAACTTCATATTGAGAATTCTTGACTTAGAAAACTTCCAAGGTAGGGCTGAAGTTTGAAATTGTGTTGGTGCTGGCGGGCCGGTAGATTGATGGATTAGGTAGGACGAACGTCTGTTCAACTTTATCGAACTTAGCCATCGAGACTTCACGAGCATCTTTATACTCACTTAGAAACACGATGCGACCTCAAACACATCCTCCTGACTTTGCGAGGAAGCAAGATGCCTCGGCTCTTCCTCACGTAGATTAGTCCAGCGCCTACGCTGCTGTACGATCAACACTCGTCCTCCCACAACCGTCAATGGCCCGTCTTCGGGAATGACACCCGTACGACGGATACGAACTCACATGGTCTACGCCTCGAAAATATTTTCGTACCTTGTCAGCCATCATGACGATGTCCTACTGGCAGAACATTGACAATACCATCTTCCTCCCAGGCTAATTCCTCACCACTGCCGATCGATCTCGTAAAAAAAGAAGGTTGTGGCAGAAAACCAGGGAAAACGTCCCGAGAGTGGCGTCAGTCGGACCAATGCCACGATCTCCCCGCAAGACACTAGAACAGATTGATCCTCGGGCTGACTTGGGTTCAGTCACTAGCGTGCGTGCGTGCGAATCCCTAGGTGCTTTACGTAGAAGCTGAAATGGCACCGGCATGGAGGGGAAGTGGAACACGTTTTGTGTAATGCCCTCTTTTACCGGCTTTTGTTGGGGACTGTTTGGCAACATGAGGGAGGGGAGGCACCGGTACCTAATCGCCTCTTCGTTGGATGCATGCAGGTTGATCGCCCCTCGGTCCCAAGCCCGGTCTGGGGAACCTTAGATCCCGGATCCCAAGGGCGGACTAACAAAAGACCTCGTATCAGGGCGGAAGGAGAGGGGTTGCCCTGCGCATCGTATCGAGCATGAGACTGACGTCCATCTGGGACCATGTCTCAGTTGGGCCTTCTATCAAGTGTAACCTAGAAGTCGGTGTGGATTTGAGAAGGATAAGACATGGCATTTTGTGATGGGGAGTCAAGTATGGTAGTCAACGATGGGACGAAACTGTTCTCCCATCACTTAGTCGGACTAGAGTAGAACTTCCTGCGGCATCTCTTGACATTTCGTGGCGACACAGTCAAACTCGGATGCCGGATGTGAGGTCGGCTTCAGCTCCGCTCAGCTAGACGTGCGTCTGACGTCTGCATACAGCGGTCAGCAGTGGTATCTCCAGAACAAGCACCCAGTTGTGATCAGATGCTTCTCGGAAGCATCTTTCATGCAAGGGTTCAAACGTTACAAGTAAGCTTCAACGTCTTATGTTTCATTGAGATCGTTGAGCAATGTCTGACTTTCCCAGTGTCTTGAATCTACGATTCTAACATGTAGCTATTTGCTGTTCTCGTATTCCCATGGTCACCCTGTGGAGGCGCATCTACGAATACCTCTATCCTTGCCATAGACATTTCTCGAATCTCTTGTTTTATCCCATCTTGCCTCAGTAGACATGGTGGTGAGATCTATCATGCGGCGGCGCAAGAGGCGCCACGTTGACACTTAAGCTATCCGACTTACAGGCGTCGCCATCCCAAGGGCCACAATCAGGCTGGCAAACGGTCCCGCTCTCCGGCACTGTCCCATGCTCAAGATACTCCCGAAGGATCTTGGTCGTACACTTGCTCCCCGTGGCAAAGGCAGCGTGGCCCACCGACTCTTGAATCACGACAACTGACCCGGGGTGTCCCTCACTCGCTTTGAAAGCGTTTCTCAATGGCGTCACGGGATCGAGCCGCGAAGACATGAAGAGCAGCGGCGCTGCGGGCCGGCCTTCTACAACCGCAGCATCGTGCGGCGGTGTCGTAAACGGGCCTGTGAAGCGCCACTTGGGGCGGACGAGCCAGCTCGTGCAGGCGGAGCGAATTTGTCCCCAGTAGCCGGCGAAGGTCGGCGACTGAGATTCGAGCACCGCGACGTAGGCCCTGTAGTCGGCGAGGGTCATATTCGTGTTATCTTCGCCGTCGCCGCAAAGGACCGCCTGGCCGCCGTCTCCCCAGGAGAGCCTCAGATCTGTGGCGTTGGGATGGGTACAGGCCTGGTCGATCTTGGGAATCTCGGCGGAGGCGGACTCCAGGATGGCGGTGTAGTTTCCCTCGATGGCAGCATTGATTTCGTTGGCGAGTTTGATGAAGCGAGTGTAGGGCGCGTAGAGCGGGTTCTTGAAGGAGAGGATGACATCGTAGCCTGTCAAAATGTTTGTCACCTTGCCGTTGAGTACCGCGACGGGGGCTTCGTCGAGACGTTTCACTAGCTGATCGACTCGATCACGAATGTCTTGCCACTGCTTGTCCGAAGGCCGGCTCAGCGCGCATTTCTCCTTAGCCTCAAAGCATGTCTCGTAAAAATAGTCAACAAGCTTCTCCGTGTCTTGAAGGTTGGTCTTCCAGCCCTAGTTACACGTGTATTAGCCGCATGCGAAGAGGTGAATGGGAATATAGGTACACTCTTACCCCTGCCACGTAGTCATTTGAATCCGCGATGCCATCAACAATGAGCCGGCCTACGCGCCCAGGATACATTGAGGCGAACGTATTGCCGAGGATGCTGCCGTATGAGAAGCCCCAGTACTGAATCCGCGGCACATCCTTAACCTTCCGGAGCTCTAGCGACTGCTCGGGTTGCGAAGCTGCAGCTTCTCTCTTGCGAAGCTCGTCAATCTTGTCCACCATCTCGACCATGTCACGGCAGACAGATGCCGTCGTAGCAAATGGGATAATGGAGCCGTTGCCCGACTTCTCGGTACAGAGCCTGCCGTACCCCTGAATCCTCGCCCACTGCCTCCTCAATGCATCCGGGCTGGCATCAAGCGGCCCGATGGCCAGACGTTGGATGTTGTCCGTGTCCCTTGCGAGTTCGTCCTCGTAGCAATCAGCCACAGGCGTCGTGAATTGCACGCCGCGCGGATCCCAGCTCAGCATCTCGTACTTTTTGCTGCCGCCACTTAGCGTGCGGCGCATATCGTGGCCATTGCGGAGTAGCATGCTCACGCCGGAGCCACCGGGCCCGCCTGGGTTGGTGAAGACGGTGCCGCCAAAAGATGGGTCGTCGTCGGGGACGGTGGCAGGGAGCTTGATGATTGCCAGAGCGACCGTGTGCTCGTTCGTCTCGTCGAGCCAGTCGAGAGGGACGCTGAGGCGGGCGCATTGGTAGTCTTTGTAGCATGGGTGGTATTCCAGCTTGGGGGCGGGCGTGATGGTATCCCAGTCAAAGTCGGTGATCTTAGGAGGGTCGGGCTTTTTGGCGGCAGTGAAGCCGGCGAGGCCCGTGACGGCGGCCAGGCCAATTGAGACCTTCATTGCGTTCGGGCTATGAAAGACTGTGATGAAGCGATTGTGTTGTGATGAAGTTGACGAATACTTATCCCGATGCAGAGAAGTTGACGAATGTCGGAAGGATGCCTTTGGCGAAGAGACGTCGCGGCTTCCACCGTGTTCGTCGCTGCTGCCAATCACCTGGCGGGCTTTAGTTTATCGCCGAACTGCAGCTAATGTTAGGGAAGGCGCCGGTCGACACGATTGAGATGAAGATGAACGGCGTGAGATGAGGGGAAGCTTGCTTTCATGGGCCTGAAAAATGAGTTGAGCAACCGAACAGCCTTTTGCTGCGTCAGCATGGCCTGCCTGTAAACCCGTAAGCGCGGCGCGCAATGATCCCGTCTTACGCCCTTTTATTCACCAGAACACCAAATGTTGGACGCCGCCAGGCGGAATGAGGAGGTAAAAAATACACCCCATGATAAAGGCGAGATTGGCCAGGTCATTTGAACAACTCATTTGAAGATTCATTCTACTATTATAAGTCCAAGCCTATTGGGATACATGAACAATTATGAAAACGCCGTGACGCCTGCTGCTCAAAATCTGACAGTTTTCCACCCACCAACTCACTCACTAACTCAACCACGCTCATTTACTCATTCGCTCACTCATTCGCTCACTCAGGCCTTCGCATCCGACAACCGAATGAGCGATGATCCAACCCCCATACTGCTTGCCCACTGGCGATGGGCATCCTGAATTTCTTCGAGCTCCCACACCTTCTTGATGGGAACGGTGATCTTGCCCTCGGCCACCAACTCAAGTAAAGCCTTCAGATTCGGCTCAAACGTCGCGTCGTCGCGCGTAATGTAGTAGAACTTGGTCCTCTTGCCGCAAAACGGCACCATGCCGCGCGCCATAAGTTTCATCGTCGGCAAGATCACAGAGCCATGCTCCGATTCGTCATTGAGTGAGCGCAGATTGCCGCCGTAGCCGACCAAGATGCCGGTAGGCGACAGAACCGAAAACGACTCATCCCAGCTCTCGAACCCGAGGGGATCGAACACGGCGTCCGCCCCGCCGAGCTCCTTCACGGCCTGCATCCACTTCTTGTCCGTATACACGAACGGGTGGGCCCCTTGCTCCCGAGCGGCCGCGTGGTTCCGCTCCGATGCCGTGCCGTAGACCTCGGCGCCTTGCAGCTGGCACAGCTTCATAAGGGCATAGCCGACGGCCCCGCTGACGCCGTGGATGAAGACGCGCTGACCTTTGCTGACTTTGGCGACGTCAAAGACCATGGCGTACGCTGTGTTCCAGTCTAGGATGAGGGCTGTGGCCTGCTGCAGGTCGGTCCCAGGGGGTACTCTGATGAGGTACTTTTCCGGCAGGTTGACCAGCTCGGCTTCGGCGTCGTAAATTGTGAGGCAGGCGACGAGATCACCCGGCGAGAGCTTGGATGTGCACCCTGGGCCGGTGGTCTTGACGGTGCCGACCAGGCAGTAGCCCGGAGTCAGCGGGGCCTTCTTCTGCATGGGGTAGACGCCTTTGCGCATGTTGATGTCGGCACCTGAGAAACCGGAGTAGATGGTTGAGACCTGGACGTGGTTTGCCGGAGGCGGCTCGATGGTGTCCTGAATGATTTGGACCTTGGAGACGTCGCCGAACTCCGTGATGACGGCCTTGCGGATAGTGGTTGCAGACATGCTGAA